AAGAGAAGAGAAGAAAAGGGAGAAGATCAAAAAAGTGCGAGGGAGAAGAAAGAAGAGAGAATAACAAATGAGGATCAATTAAAAGGAAATAAATACAGATGTGCATAGGCAGAAAGAAAGAGAGTAGTAAGGAAATAATAGGATTAATGGAGGAGAAAAGTAGGAGTACGAACTAGAGTGAAAAGGGCAGGAAAGGAAAAAGAGGAAAGGAGAGGGAATCAACATCCCATACCCCACGGTACCGAAACCCACCCTCCCCTACCACACGGTACCCGAACCCACCCTCCCCTACCCGTACCCGAACCCACCCTCCTGCATCAGGTACACCGACCTCGCCCGGCAGGGGCTGCTCGACTGACGCGCGCACCCCCTCCACGAGGCTGCGCTGCGCTGCGCACGGGCGGGAGGGGCTTCTCCCGCGCAGTCGCGCACGGCTCCTCTTTGCTTCTGCTCCCTCGGCGTACATCTTGCGTGCGGGTGGCGGCCGAGACGAGCCGGGGGCGCGAGAGAGGCGGAGAGGGGGCGCAGACAAAGAGGCGGCGGGGCAGCAGCGACAGGACGGATATAGACTTTCACTTTGCACGAGAGTGGAGAGGAGCGGAGAGCATACTGAGTCACCACTGTGTACTGCCTCGGACGAGGTCGGTCCCGAGCTTATTGCATATTTAAACCATGAGGTCAGCATTGATCAATGATGGAGATAGATGGTGGTGGCTGGTGGGGCGCCTCGCGGCCAACGGCCAAGAGCGGGGCCGCGTGGCGTCTGGCGAGAGAGGAGAGTACACCGCGCGGCTTTAGACGGTCATGACCTCATGTTCAGCTGGGCGTCGGCCGCGGAGCGCTCGCGGCACGCTCGATCTAGTACCCCGCGCGTACATACTGAGCGCGGCTCTCCCACACACAGACGACGCGAACGTAGCGCACGCAACACATCACGACTCACAGCACAAGGTTTGGAAACGCAGGCTCGCGTCAGGCCCCGTTGGAAAACCCGCACGCTTCGGTTGCAGGGATTGAATACAACAGCAAGAGACATATTGTGGCTGCGCCCCTGATTGCGATGTTGGCTCTCCGCATTATCGACTGGCAGCGTGACATCCAAAGTAGCGCACGCAGAGCCACCCAAAACGCCAGCGGTGTGGCCGGAAGCTGTCTGCGCTGCTTCTGCGAAGAATGATGAGAATCGACAACCTTACTCCTCCGGCTCACGCCGACTCTCCTTGGCATCGCTTCTTCGAGTCTCCCAGCCGCTTCCGAGGACGCCGCCTACTTTTCGCCACTCGGAAAAAGAAATGCGAAGTGCAGTCTTCACAAAAAAAGCAATTTGGCAGGCGTCGCCGCGTCTCCGGGGCGGCCTAGAGCTGGCTGGCTGGTTCTGGCACCGGGATGAGGAGAATCGCACATGCTGGACGGTCGGAACTAGGTCTCCCGGGTCTTGGCCCCTCAGCCGAGCTTCTTAGCGCTGTACCTGCGGAAGAGGTGAGGCGTAAGCAAAAATCCTCAGCAGATCCTAGCTGTACGTGCGTATCACGCTAACTCGCAGGCGGTGTGTGCCGACCTGCATGAATCCTTGCCGCCACCGGCGGGCACGGCGATGGACGCACCCAAGATGATCGACCCGACTCCGATGCCAACGATTTTAACAACCAAGTCTACGATTTTTGCCTTGCGGAACGTTTCCGAGTAGAGAGAGTGCTTGCTGGGAGTGTTTGGCGTCCTTGTCTCGGTCACCCTGGTCGCGCAGGTCCCGCATTAGGCACTCTTTGCAGATGGTGAGGCCGAAACCGAGCAGAAAGCCCCTGAGGCCCGTCTCGAAGGTGGCCCAAAGGAAGGACAAGATCTGCATCAGCAGCTCTGGGTTCATCGCGACGGCTGCAGGCCTGCGGCGCACGCTGGCGGGAGGTGTTGGTGGTAATGACGGTGGCTATGGGCGATGGTGAGGACGACGGCGATGTGAAGTGGCAGCGAGGGCGGCGGCGGTGATAGCGGTGGCGGTGGGCGACGTGCGCGCCGCGAAAAAATGGCACTTTTTCGGTGCTGGTAGCCCCCCCAAAACAGGCGCGCGCAGCGCGCCCAAGGGCGCCGCAGGCGCCCCAAGCGGCGCGGAGCGCCGCCGCAGGCGGCGGACAGCAGGTGCGCGAAATTAAACGCCATTTTCGGTTCCGCGGTTTTGCCACTAACATCGAAATCCGGTACAAATCGACTTAGCCGAAACAGCTGACAGACAGACAGAGAGCACACAAGTTCAAACGAGGGTTGCGCCGGTCGCCGCCGCGCACCCACCCGAGCTAGATGGCCCCATAGGACGCCCTCTCCCTCTGGGCTCGGCTCTGGACGCCTCCAGGGCAGCATGGGTAGGCCGGAACCGCGCCACGGTTACGCCGAGGCCGCGCAGCAGAACCGACGGCGATCGTGGCGACGGAGTCTCGACGGCGCGAGAGGCGGCCGTAAGGGCGCCGGCGGTGGCAGCGCCGGCCGTGAGGAAGGCGGCCGCGGTCCTGGCGGCTCAGCGAGCTCGGGGGAGCGGCAAGTAACAGCGACGGCGATGGCGGCGCCAACGCCGAGCGACGGCGGCGCCTAGCGCCCTCCGAACAAGTCCCACATGCTGCGAGCTGCCTGCCGGACTGCGCGGCCACCTGCGCCGCCGCCGCCTGCGCGTGCCACCCCTCCCGCCTCCTCGTCATGTCGGCGCTTCCGCCTCTCCTTCGCCCTCGCCGCCTCATAATACTGCTCTCGGTCTAGACCCGCCGCCTCCTCCGCGTACCTCCGCCTCCACTGCGCCCGCCGCTGCCGCCGCTGCGTCAGCCACCGCGCTCGAGCTGCGTTGCCGATGGGCGGCATGCTATCCTCCGGAAAGTCGGCGTTGATCTTGTTAAACCACTGCACCAGCTCCTCGGACGCGTCGGCGGGGAGCTGCCACTCGAAGGCTGCACGGCCACCTCGGTGCTGCCCGCCGCGCCCGCCGCGCCCGCCGCGCCCGCCGCGCCCGCCGCGCCCAACACCGCGCGCGCCGCCGATCTGCGCGCCTACCTCATGAATAGGACGAGTCAGTCGCGTGTGCGAAGGAGGCATCGCCCTCGCTGCCCCGCCCTCGCCGACGCCGTCGCTCTCCTCCTCCTCCTCCTCCTCCTCCGACGCCTCCTCCGCCTCACTACCCCCACCACCCTCGTCCTGCACGTCGAAGCCACCATTGCTATCGCCCTCGTCCACCTCCTCGCCCTCGCCAGCCTCCTCGATCGTCGCCCCCCGCTCCTCGGCCAGCAGGCGGACGTGGTCGAGAGGCAACGGGCCGTTGGGCACGTCTGGCGGCGCCGGCCTCAGCGACGGCGGGTCCGCTACCTGCCGCGGCGCCCGCCCGCCGTCCGTGCCACGCACACGCGCCTGCAGAGCCCGCTCGCCATGCAGCGACAGCAGCTGCCGCGCCCGCGTCTGTCGTGCTTGTTGTACCTCCCTGAGCGGCCGGCGTAGCGCTGGTGCACCTCCTGGAGGATTAGCTGCAGCTCGAGCTGATGGCGGACGAGGTCCTCACCGCTCGGCAGCGCCGGCGAAAGGCACATGGCGGCGGCACAGGAGATCTGCGAACAGGGCGAACCGACGCTGGCAGGTGAAGCAGCGT